ACCCCTGCGACAGGTACTGTAGCTGAACTGGAGAACCACCCCGTGCTGGTATCAGTCACCCCTATTCACAAAAAAAAAAAATACACAAGAAAATCAGCTCATTTAGCAAGGGATGAAGAGGAATCAGGGCCATCACGAGAAGAGGAGGAAGAAGCAGAACCCATAAATGAGATGGTAAGCATCCGATCCCTATCCCTGAGTGAGCTGCGAGATATGCAAACAGATTTCAGCCATCATCCAGGAGAGCACATTGTCACCTCGCTGCTCTGATGCTGGGATAACGGGGCCAGTAGCCTGGAATTAGATGGTAGGGAAGCCAAGCAGCTGGGATGCAATTCTAGGGAAGGGGGCATTGACAATGCAATTGGAAAAGGGGCACAAGCCCTCAGCTTCTGGAGGTGACTCCTGTCAGGTGTGAAGGAAAGGTATCACCCAGGCAAGTGGACCATCATGGAGAGAGGTATCCAGTACCTGAGGGAATTAGCCATGCTGAAGGTGATTTGCGGTGACCTGAACAACGAGCAGTTATCCAAAGATCCAGATGAAGTCAGGTGCACACGACCCATGTAGCAGAAGTTTGTACGGAGAGCACCAGTGTTGCATGCAAACTCATTGGCAGTAATGACATGGAAAGACAAAGAGGAACAGACAGAGGATGAATTGGCTGGCCAACTCAGGCAATACGAAGAAAGTCTCTCTTCCTCCCTACGGGCCTGCATCTCAGCTGTGGAGAAACTGCTGGACATGCTATCTGAGTGATGCTCCAGTGATTCAGAGGACGTATGTCCTGCTCCCCACCTGTACAAGCCAGTATCTCAGCCATTAGAAGTAAGCGTTCCTCAGAGAGAGGACATAGCGGATACACACCATGGGCCACCCCGTGGTTTTACTTGTTTACCATGGAGCGGACATGAGGAAGTGGGATGGAAAATCTACCTCGACCCTAGAGGCACGGGTGTGTGAGTTGCAAGGAAAAAGAATCACCAAAGGCTGTTCTTCCAGGAAAATTGCTGCTCCGGTTTCCAGTGAGCAGTTCCCCAGACAGAGAAGAAGGGCTGATTTTGCTTGTGGTCTTAATAAAGGGACGTTTGATTCGCATTTACAAGAAACAAGTAATGAATACTATGACCAGAACTAGAGAGGCCCTGCCTCCAGCCAGGTGGAGGAAAGGGACAACCGGGTTTATTGGACTGTGTGGATTCGATGGCCTGGCACGTCAGCCCCACAGGAGTATAAGGCTCTAGTGCACACCGGTGCAGTGTACCCTAATGCAACCCAGCTATAAAGGAGCAGAACCCATCTGTATTTCTGGAGTGATGGGGGGGATCCCAACAACAAACTATATTGGAGGCTGAAGTGAGCTTAACTGGGAATGAGTGGCAGAAGCACCCCATTGTGACTGGCCCAGAGGCTCCGTGCATCCTTGGCATAGACTACCTCAGGAGAGGGTATTTCAAGGACCCAAAAGGGTACTGGTGGGCTTTTGGCATAGCTGCCTTGGAGATGGAGGAAATTAAACAGCTGTCTACCCTGCCCAGTGTCTCAAAGGACCCTTCTATTGTGGGGTTGCTGAGGGTCAAAGAACAACAGGTGCCAATCGCTACCACAACAGTGCACCGGCGGCAATTTTGCACCAACAGAGACCCCCTGATTCCCATCCATAAGCTGATTCATCGACTGAAGAGCCAAGGAGTGATCAGCAAGACTCACTCACCTTTTAACAGTCCCATATGGCCAGTGCGAAAGTCTAATGGAGAGTGGAGACTAACAGTAGACTATCGGGGCCACCACTGAGCGCTGCCGTGCCAGACATGCTAGAACTTCAATATAAATTGGAGTCAAAGGCAGCCAAGTGGTATGCCACAATTGATATTGCTAATGTATTTTTCTCAGTCCCTTTGGTGGCAGAGTGCAGGCCACAGTTTGCTTTCACTTGAAGGGGCATCCAGTACACCTGGAATTGATTGCCCCAGGGGTGGAAGCACAGCCCCACCATTTGCCATGGACTGATCCAGACTGCACTGGAATAGGGTGAAGCTCGAAACACCTGCCATACATTGAAGATATCATTGTATGGGGCAAAACAGCAGATGTTTTTGAGAAAGGGAAGAAAATAGCCAAAATCCTTCTGGAGGCTGGTTTTGCCATAAACCAAAGTCAGGTCAAGGGACCTGCACAGGAGATCCAGTTTTTAGGAATAAAATGGCAAGATGGATGTCATCAGATCCCAATGGATGTGATCAACAAAATAACAGCCATGTCTCCACCAACTAGCAAAAAGGAAACAAAAGCTTTCTTGGGGGTTGTGGGTTTTTGGAGAATACATATTCCAAATTACATTCTCATCGTAAGTCCTCTCTATCAAGTGACCCAGAAGAAGAATCATTTTGGATGGGGCCCTGAGCAACGACAAGTGTTTGAACAAATCAAAGAGATAATTCATGTGGTAGCCCTTGGGCCAGTCCGGGCATGGCGAGATGTAAAAAATGTGCTCTACACCACAGCTGGGAAGAATTGGCCCTACCTGGAGCCTCTGGCAGAAAACACCAGAGGAGACTCGAGGTCGACCCCTAGGGTTTTGGAGTCAGGGATACAGAGGATCCGAGGCTGCCTACACTCCAACATAAAAAGAGGTATTGGCAGCATATGAAGGCATTCAAGCTGCTTTGGAAGGGGTTAGTACTGAAGCACAGTTCCCCCTGGCACCCTGACTGCTGGTGCTGGGCTGGATGTTCAAAGGGAGGATCCCCTGTACACATCATGCAACTGAGGCTACGTGGAGTAAGTGGGTCACACTGATCACACAACAGGCTCGAACAGGAAACCTCAGTCACCCAGGAATCTTGGAAGTGATCATGGACTGGGCAGAAGGCAAAGATTTCGGAATACCACCAGAGGAGGAGATGACACGTGCTGAGGAGTCCTCACTATATAATAAACTACCAGAAAATGAGAAGCAATATGCCCTGTTCCCTGATGGGTCCTGTCGTCTCATTTACTTTGTGACTCCATGAATTAGGCAGCTTTGTGTTTACCAGAATCTGGCCCACTGTATTTGCTGTTTCTGAGGTGGTGGATTAAGATACATTGTCATGTGAAGAAGAGCAGTGTAACCTGTCACTACAAAGAACTACATCGCTGGAAAAGTGACACGCTGCCAGTGTAAATCTTATTTGTAAAGGGGATTCTAGAAAGGATCCTGGAAACCACAGCGCTGTCTGACTCCCATCCCTCATAATGTTATGGAGTTTATGATGAAGAATAAGAAATTGGAGGCATTCCCATAATTAGAGAGTTGAATGAAGACTCAGCCTAGCTGGGCTATCAGGTTGCTTTTCCTCTGTCTGTTATGCCATGGGTTTCGAGTGATTTGTCTGGTGGTTCAAAGGCATTAGCATGTTCTGTGTTCCTTAGGTAACAGTCTGCTCATTGGTCATCTGGATTTTATGTCCAACAGGTATTTTGTGTGTCAAAGTTCAGTTCTGTTCAGTAGGAACAAAACTACAAACTTGCTTCAGCTAAAAACAGATTTGCAGGAAACAATGCTGGAGGGACCCAAAAGGACATGGGTCTTCCATGAGTCTGGTGTCACCTCTGCCAGTCTCAGATATATTGATGGGTCTGAACTGGCATTAGACATCTATGTTTAGGCAACTTAATCGCAACTTAGAACTCCATTAACTACAGTTAAACATTAATACCTAGTTCCTTTGTGGACAGCTACATTTAGATCTTTGTCTCGGACTGAATCTCACCTTACGAAAAGACTGTGGACTTGCATCATGAGACATTTGTGTAAAGAGGTGGGAGATATGTAATATTAATGGAAGTCAAATCCTGGTTAAAAATTGAATCAAAATTTACCAGTGATGCTCATTAAAAAACAAGATGGGTATTGAATCAGGCTCCACTGAGGTCTACACCCCTGGTATGAATGTAGGTATAACCCTGAGATCACTGATGCAAAAATGAAGGAATAAATTATCTTCCACCTCCATGATGCACAGCACAAAAGCTGGTAAGCTTAAATTCCACAGAAGAAAGGACTGTTCACAGAAAATAACCATGACAGCCTGGAAACAAGGATCCTTCAGCATCTGCTGTCATTTCTGTCTCAGGAGGTCGCCAGCTTCCACTTCAGAAAGGCGCACGTCTCCCACAAGCCTTTTATAACCAGCGCCCTGTAGACATGCTGGACACTCTAAAGAATCTTAAAGAGCAATGGGTGTCTATGTTTAGGCAAGTAAATTGCATTTTTACCTGGCAAAAGGTTAGCACTCAGAAGTTCTTGTGGAGCAGACAGCTCTGCCAGGGCTATCTATGCACTAAAAGAGCGTATTACTCTACCACAAGGGTTCAAAGAGAGATGTGGCACTGCATTAAGTCAATTTGCATTGCCTCTCAGACTCTTCTTCAAGCACAGATGGCATGCTGTCCACCCAAGCAGTAAAGTGTAGACACATTACTATGTTTTAAATTACTCTGTTTTAAAACCTTTTTGTTCTCCTTTTCCTCCAAAATTCTTTGAATTCCATGCAGAAGAGTGACAGAGACAGGTTACCTTTACGTGGTGCCGTGCGTTTGTTGGGGTGTGCGTATTTGAATTCATGATGTGAAGTTGGGCTTTTTATGTCAGCACAAAGTACATAGTGCAGCAGTCCAGTACAAAACCTCAGAGAATGACGATCACTGAAATGCACTGTGAGGACTGAAATTTTCCAAAAAAAGACTCTCCAGAAATTGTTCTTGAGATAAACGTATCATTTATCAAATCGTGGCAGGGAATGGCTCACTTCTGCATGCATGCTGCAAGTATTGGACAAAATGCATACAGAAAAGGCTGGGGGAAAAGTAAGTATTTTAAGCTAAGGTATTAAACTATGCATAATACAGAATGTGATCAAAAATGTGTAATATATAAATTGCATTTAAGCATTCGATCTGTCTAAGAAAGTAATATGAACTTTCATGTCACAACATAATTACCATATTTAAAAAAATTATTCCTCTTTAACTGAACAAATTCTAATGCTTGATTCTTTGTGTGAGCTTTTAAAGAATGGATAAACTTCTTCTGAGAATGCACAGTCTTTAAACGTGAACATCACAGACATGTCGGTAACGTTGAAATAAGTCAAAGTTTTCTCTTCACAGTTAAGGTAAACTCCGACTTTCTTGGGATTTTTCTGCACTGCTAACCGTGTCCATAGTTCAGTTCTTGCCCAGTAACCTTTAAAACTTAATCCCAGAGCCCAGAATCCTTCTTTAGGTGACAGAGACATTACTCCTTTCCTCGGAGTGGATTTCCTGGCTACTCCCAGGTCCCAGTCATTGCTGTTTTCAACGTCCACCTCCCAGTAATGCTTCCCAGAGGAGAAACCTTCTGAGCCCAGCACACAAACAGATGAATCAAACCTCCCTTTATTTTGAGTCACTTTCTGGGCCTGTGATTTGTACGTAAAACTCTTCTTGTCCACAGCAATAGACAGGTTTGGATGGGCTGTGTCCGCATCAAACTTGATGTCATCTACAACAAATAGATATTTGGGGTTTTAGAAACACTCCTCTAAAGCAAATATGCAAGAAGAGAAGGAAACTGCACTGTACTGCATTTAGTTCTGAAAATCTCCCTACAACTAGTCTAGAAAGACCTCTAAGCCTGGAGTGAAGAAGGACTGCACTCAGACATATAAATGACACTTTAGTTTTCCAATATTTCACTGCCAAGTCTCATATCTCCATATCACTGGAATAGGAGGCATTTGCAGACTCCCAATCCAGTCCATGCTCAGCACTGCCTCTGTAGTATTCACAGATTTCAAGTCACTGAGTACAGATGTAAGTAAATGCATTATTTTACCTGCATCGTCACGAGCCTTTCTGAATTCTGAAAGCAAATAAGGGGGGAAAAAAAGAAAAAAAAGAAACAAAAAAAGGTAAGAAAAACCACACTCCAAACATTGACTGAAAAAAAAATTTCCAACTCCAAGCTGAGACATCTCAGACTGAGTCTAAGGTTAAACTACGCAGGGCAACTGATCCTCAAATTCCCTCTTGCTCTCTCAAGCCCTGCGATTACCTGTGAATTCTGAAGAAGGATCTGAAGCTGGGATGAGTTTCCTGCTTGGGAACCATTTCCTCTCTCAGGTCCCAATTTGCTGCCTTGCCGGAATTTTACAAAGATGCCCCACCAGCCACACTCCGCTTTTCAAACCATGCGAGATCCCTGGTCAGCACCCCAGCATTTCCAGGGACACAGAAAGAGTTGGTGCCCATTGTGACACTCAGGGAAATAAATTTCAGCCCCATTTCATGAATTTCTCAGGCAAGGGTGGATACAAAGGAACAGGTTGAGTGAATTTTCCCTACCACTCTGAAAAGAGCAGGGAGGGAGAGCATTTTCTGGTGAGTTTCTGGGTCTGTGCAACTGTGACAGCTTTGTGCAATAGTGGCTGGGCAGGAAAGGACAGTGGAGAACACGTGGCAGGCAGAGAGCCTACTATATAAACCAAGCTGCTGAGAAGTCAAAACAGACAAGTAAATATTAAATACTTGCCACAGCAGAATCAGCTGAGCTTGTGCTTTTATGCATGAGAGATGAAAAGATGACCCAGCAGGGTAGGATCATAAAGACCTGAGATGTGAGCTTAAAGGATTAGCTAACCCTGAAAATCTATACTTCCTCATCTGCCTCCAAAACCCAGTCCATTCTGGCATTCGCCACCCCAGGGAGGGACGAAAAACTTGCCCTCCACTCTCCCACCCTGGCATCGCATCCCACGATCTGCTTGCGCACACAGCCCCCAGGGAGACAGCGACACTCACCAATCTCCATCTTCTGGTTCTCTGCAACAAGAGGGGGGGGAAGGGAGAACACCTTGCTTAGCACCCCGACTCCAAGGAAGGCAGGGAGAAAAGCCTGGGTCTCATGTAACAAGGCAAACTCATCCTCCCCCAGCACCCGTCCCCAC